GTAAAATCTCAAAATAATATGCCGGCTCAGTTTCTCGAAGGTGCTCATAGGAGTAGGGCGTGCGTGTGTGCATTCATATGGAACACGGGTAGTTGCAGACCAGATAGTTGTGCTCTCTTTTGAGCTGGCCCGCCCAGTTTTCTATGAAGCTCCGCCACTGCTTAATGGACCAAGCCAGACTAACATTTGAAAACTAGATTTTGTTGACAGCGCAGTATAATCCGTAGGATTACTGCTTAATCTCGTAGCAGGTAGCAAATTAAGCTTGGGCTTGGCTAGTTTCTTCACCTCAGGCCGTTGACGGCAGCACGCAGTTGCCGATCTCTGTAAAGTGTGGAACAAAATCACCATTAACAAATCAAAACGTTCATTTTCTTTTCTTGACACAGGAATCACAAATTCAAAAGCCAACTTACTTGGTGCCTGCCGGACAATAATACCGGCGCCGGCGAAGTCGCACGTTCCTGTGGCCCTGCCATGCAGCTGGTAATAGCTGTTGAACGCGACGGACGCATGCGCGACCTTGGTGTCGGGGTCGAAGCACCGTGCTCCGGGCTGGATGTCTGTGCAGTTCGCGCCACCGGGGCCGCAGGCGTAGTCCAGCGCCGCCTGCAGCCGCGTGTCGCTCACCGCCGCGTTCGCCACGCACCAGCTCGGGCTCGGGTCGCACGCACCTGATGGTGCCTGGTTGACAATGGTGCCGGCGCCGCTGAAGTCGCAGGCGCTTCTATCCCGGCCGTTCTTCTGGTAATAGTCGTTGAAGGCGTAGGACGCGTGCGCGAGCTTGGTGTCGGGCTCGAAGCAGGGCTGGCCTGGCTGGATGGCGCTGCAGTCTGCCCTCTTGCCATCCCTGTTGTCGCACGCGAAGTCCAGCGCCGCCTGCAATGCCGCATCCCCGACCGCCGCGTTCGCCACGCAATAGCTTGCCTGCAAGGGCCCGCCGCTGGTGCCGCCATGGACGAAGTCGATCGGGTTCGGGTACACCGGTTGCTGGTTCGGGTAGAACAGCCCGAAGTCCTGGTCATCTTCGGGCTTGCTGTTCTCGTTGAATAGGGCGAAGATGTACACGTTCAGATCGGCGTTGGGACGGTGCGGGGTGCCGCGGACGGCGCTGGCGGTGAGCGGGATGTGTCCGTTTGCGGCGGCGGTGCCAGAGTTACCCTGCAGTACTTGGAGTGTGAGACCAGCCATGAAATCTTGGGCGTTTTGTGGGGTTCCTACGCCACCGTGACCTTTGTTTGGGTGCCCTTCCTCCCCATGGTGCACGTCTGGGCTTCCACCTCCTGCCGTGAGCTTCCTCATCCCCCCGACGTGCATGCTGGAGGACGGGAGCTTCTCCATCGCATAGTAGACTGCGTCGAGCTGGGCGTCAAAGAGGCTAAAGTACATTTGTCCGCTACCAGTGTCAAGCACGCCACTATTGGGGCGGAACAAGAGGTAGTTAATGGACATGCCTGGGGTAGCCAGGTACGCGATGTATGGGAAGAAGTTCACCATGAGGTACGAACCCGTCTGTTGCAAGAAGTCGATCATGGGGCTCATCACCGACAGCGCGATGTCGTCCCGGAACGTTCCCGCGGACGGCGGGAACGACGTGGTGAGCGCGTCAAACGCGATGGGCGTTGTCACCTTGATGGCGTCCGCCAGGCCCAGTTTAGCCAACGCCGCCTGCACGTTCTTCATGGCCGGGACAAGCTGAGAGTTTAGTTGGCTAGCCTCTTTGAACACCTCGTTCCCGACCGTCACGCCATTGATCAGCGTGGCCGGGTAGTAGGCCTTCACATTGCTCTGCACCCACTGGAGCGCGAAATTATTTTGGTCGGCCGCCGCGAGCGGCAGCTCCTCGTTGGTCAGCTCCACCGTCACCTTGATGTCGGTGTTGGCCAGCGAGCGCAGCACCGTGGGGTCGGTGTCGTAGATCCTCACCATGGTGATGCCGTTTTTCTTGAGCAGTTGCACCACAGAAGCCGGGTCCGGCAGGTCAGTCGCCACCCTCCCGTAGCACACGCCCACCTCGCCACCCTCTGATGCATGCAATAGCAACAAACGTCAGTCACTATCACGAAACTACACCTGCGCCATATATATACATCTCCAAAATGTACGTCTCCTCGATCACCTGCAGGGGAGAAGAAGAGAAGAGGCAATGCAGCACCGAGGAGGGCGAGGAGGAGGCGGGTCATCAGCGCCATGCTCTCCGTAGTGTGCGGAGTGGAGCGAGCTGGGGGCTAGAGGAGACAACGATCGGGCTGATGAGTTGTGAATCATCCTAGGCGGGCTGGAATTTATAGGCGGCGCCAACGCTAACATGGAGATAGATTCTTTTTGGACAAAGAACATAGAGATAGATGTTGCTACGTTACATATTTCTCTTCGTGCAAGACGATACGACAATCAAAATTGGGATTACTAGTGAGGCTGATCGCAGCATGCATTTATATATGCCGGCCGTGCCTAACTTGGACTTTGACTGGTGGAGTCACGGACGACTTGATACACCTGAAGAGACATGCGCATGCGTGCTTGGGCCGGCACGCCCACAACCTTTGCCCCTAAATCCAAAAGACAAAATGATCGCTAGGTTCGTTACCTGGTATTTGTAATCTTCCTTTGGATGTTGTGATTGAATAAAGAACCTAGGCCACTCAAAAAAACGAAAAACTGGTGACAGTATCCCAGGGCCCTTTCTCTTGTCTTCTACATCTGATGCTCGCCGGCAGGCCTACGATGACACATGACTGTACATGCCTGGATAAAACGCAGACATGGCAAATTCATTGTTTTGACCCTTTTTTCAACTTAAGCGCGATCTGACCCTATGTGTAAAAGTTTTTCAAATCTAACGCTTTTTTTATCATCATTGTTTTTGGCAGTAGGGTAGCACACCCTACCGCCAAAGTCTTTGACGGTAGAACTTACTTACACTGTCACGTCCGTTTGGTGTGAAAAAATACCCTACCACTATGATCTTTGGCAGTAGGGGCATGCATGCGCAGTTATAATAAGGGCTTGTATGCAATAAAACAAAGAAGATGACCTACTGTCATAGACTATGGCAGTAGGGTAACACATCCTACCGCCATAGACTATGGCGGTAAGGTCTATTTTACAAAATACAAACGTGACAGCACAGATAAGTGCTACCGCCAAAGACAAATAACGGTAAAAAAAGGATCAAATTCAAAATAATTTTGTACATAGAGTCTGATCATGCTAAACTAACGGAAAATGATCGAACCAGTGAATTTGCCCACGCAGAGAACCGCATGCTCTTGCTTCCTGCAGCTACTTTCCAGCATTTTGTCAAACACGTGTGGAAAAGACTAGGGAAGACGCCCGTCAATGCAGCGCCTATCACTGCTTGAGGTAGGGGTGGTTCACTTTTACGATTGACAAGACATTGTTGTCTTGTATAGAAAACGTCGCTTTTCCAACCTTCTGTCTTTGTGCGCATAGTTGCACAGTATCTCGTCTTCATGCAGGAGCAGTTTGTCTTGTATAAAAATCGTCGTTTGCAATTTTCTGTCCCGCGACTCAAGTTGCCCCGTTGTAATCTTATATTCCCTCCCATAATATAAGAGTGTTTTTGACACTACACTCATGTAAAAAACGCTCTTATATTATAGGACGGCAGAAGTAGTATACTAGTACCTAATTCGCGCCTAGGCGCACCTCTGTGAGACATGTGATGGATGACACGCTAAATGTACTCCCTCCGTTTCTAAAAATAATTTTTTTAAAGATTTTAATATAAACGTCATGCGGATGTATATAAATGTATTTTAGAGCATAGTTTCACTTGTATAACTCGATATGTAGTTCACATTGGAATCTCTAAAAAGGACATATTTAGGAACGGAGGAAGTGCGTGAAGAAAAAGTATAATAATATACATGCATCAGCTACGCCAACTGATTTTGATTAGGTTTTTGGTTAAGATAAGCAATTCCTTGTTTGGACGAGGAAAATAAGAAAATAGATTATGCTCGCCGCTCGGAATGACCGACGCTCGCGGCACACCCATCCTACGCCAACGACACCACAGCCCCCGCTACTTGTATCAACGCTGGCAGGTGCTTTCAGCCCGTCGCCGGTCGTCGTATACGGCGTCCTCGGGGAGAACCACGGGCTCGCGTAAGGAAGCGGCCGTCACCACCTGTCTGGATTACACCGTTTTTCAGGATTTTAAGCGTGTGTATTTGAAATTTCAATGCAGCAGCTAATCTCTACTTTCCAGCATTTTGTCAACACGTGAGGAAGGGGTGCTTCATTTTTGTGATTGACGAGACATTCTTGTCCTGTATAGATAGAAAACGCCGCTGTTGCAACCGTCTGTCTTGTGCGCCCAGTTGCACAGCATCTCGTCTCATTCATGCAGGAGCAGTTTATCCTGTATATATAGAAATCGTCGTTTGCAATTTTCTGTCATGTGACCCAAGTTGCCCAGTTGTAGCCGTGTTGTATATCGTCTCATTTCCTGCTGCATGCAGTTATGGTCTATGCCCTTTGTGTAATGGTGAATGCGAGCCGAGCCGAGAGCCTGCCTCGAGCTCGCCCGGCTCGAACTTGGTGCAGCATCCCCGATGTAGACATGGCCTGAAAGCACTGGCGTGCAGGTAGCACGTCAGCATGGGTGGGCAACACTCGGGTGAAGCTGGAGGCACCCAACCCTGGCGATGAATTTCCTTTTTTAGGGGTGAAACAAACTTTATTCAGCAAAAACCAAATAATGTAGGATAGTGTTCCGCTCATGAGATTGGTCAAGCCAAATGTGACGTTCCAGATCTAAAGAAAGCAAAAATCTAGCTGGGCTATGTGCTTCAACACGACCCTCGAAAGAAAAGGTACAATCTAGAAAAGACCCTAGCGACGAGTGCGGGAGTACGGGCAGGAGGACTTTTGGAATCATGGGAGGGACTGACAGAACAGGAGACCTGTTCCCGGCCTCTTTTTTTTTTTTGAACAACAAAAGGCGCTCGAAGCGCCAAATTCATTTCATCTCAGAAACAGTGTACAGCGTGAATTACAAACTCCTGAACCTGAAAACTTGAGAGAAGAGACAGCACAGGACAGGAACTATGTCTATGAGCTGAAGCGAAGCAACAAACTTGAGGTTCAACCCTAGAATGAAGAACCTGGTGAGCTACATTGTGTGCTATGCCATTAATTTCCCTAGAAATGTGAAACACTCGAGGTTGCAAGCTGTTAGCATGCTTGAAGAAATCAGCCAAAGGCTTCCTGATGCTCCAAGGGGTGGTAGATTCCATAATCTTGCCGGTAGCAGCCACCAAAGATAAAGAGAAACAATCCATGAGAAAGGTTGGCTGCCAAATATTGAGCTTACTAGCCACTTGAGCTGCAAAAGAAAGAGCCAGATCTTCTGCATGTAGAGGAGAAGTAGTGGGAGGAGCTGATGCTTGAATTTGCACATTGATTTCAAAACGATCTTGAGGCAAAACAAGATAGACCCCTATTCCAGTAGCAACTGCTCCCTGTAATAGACCAGGAACTTTTGAACTTCTGAAAGCAGCGTCAGAAAATATTTTGGTCCCCGTAATGAGCAAATCCGACTTAAGAGTTCGACCCTGCATAGGAAGATGATCAGGAGGAGAAAGAACTTGTGGCATCACCTGCATCTTAGAGAAACGAGGCAAGTCATTATAAGAATCAGAGGACAAGGCCATAGTAGCAATGTGCACATGATGAGGAAGAGCCTTTTTCCTGTCAAAAAGAAAATCATTTCTAGCCTTCCAAAGACACCATAAGAAATTAAGAATGTTAGAGATAGAACCATTAGGATGTCCCATTTGAAGCAAGGCAATAAGGATAGAATGCATGGAAGTATGACCTTGGATTAAAACATCAGACCTAATAAACCAAGGATAGTCAAACCAAGCCGCACGAGCAAAGGGACAAAGAAAAAATAAATGGGATTCATCCTCCTGATGGCCGCACCTACAACAGTTTTTAGATATATGCACAGAGAATCGACTAGCTCGCAAACCTGTAGGCAAAGCCCTTCTAAGAAGCCTCCACGCAAAAGTTTGTACCCTAGGCAAAACCTGTTTTTGTTTCCAAACCATCTTGAGAAGATTCTTCAATTCCAAAGAAAGAACAGAAGGAGCATTCCTGGGAACTGCATGAATGTCCTGCAAACAAAGCTTATAAGCAGATTTGGAAGAACAAATACCATTCGGAGTGAGATCCCAACAAAGCAAATCCGGACCATCGTCATTGATAATATCAGTTTGGAGAATAATTGAGGCCATAGGTTGCTGGAAAAGTAAATGAACAAGCTCATTATTCCAATTTTTTTGTCCAGGGAGCCAAAGATCCTTAACTAAAGAAGGATATCTAAAGTCCGGTTCTTGAATAATGAGATGATCATGGATGGAGGCCCAAAGGGTGCACCAAGGTGTGCTCCAAATAGAGATATTACCTTGAGTTAATTGGTAAAAGGAATGAGCTTTTAATTTAGGAATCATTTTTAAAATCGAAGCCCAAAAAGCAGATTTAGGAGCAGAAGAAAGAGCAACCCAGATGGAGGAGTCATGAAAATATTTAGCCTTAAGAACTAAATACAGCTGAGAAAAGGGGGATTTAGCAATTCTCCAAGCAGCTGCAAGAACAAGACTCTCATTGATAGCCTTCAAATTTCTTATGCCCAGTCCACCTTCTTCTTTAGAATTGCATATGTCTTTCCATGCACGAAGACAAAGACTCCTTGTAGAATCATTTTCCCTAACACCTGTCCACCAAAAATTTCTAATGACAGCCGTGAGCTTTGCAATAAACTTCTTTGTGAACAAGATGTTAGCCATATAATAAACAGGAATAGCAGAGAAAACCGAGCGAATCAATTCAAGCCTCGCAGCATGAGAAAGCATATTGGCTTTGTAAGCGGGCAATTTATTCATAAATTTATCAAGAACAAAGTTATAGGCGACAGTTCTATTTTTAGCAGGAAGAATAAGCGGATGACCAAGATGGGTGAAATTGGTATCCAAGGAGGAAACAGGAAAAACTTGCTTAATCTCCTGCATTGTAGGTTGGCTAACTCGAGAACTAAAAAGAATGGCAGACTTGGGCCAGTTTGGAGTTTGACCTGAAATAGAACAAAAGTGCTGAATGAGCTGAGCCATAGCATTGGCTTCCTGAATAGTGGCTTGACCACAAACCAACAAATCATCTGCAAACAACAGAGAATGAATAGAAGGGCAATTTGGTCCAAGCGAAATTCCTTGAAGATTTTGAGCAGCAAGAGCTTCATTGAGAGCAATAGACAATTCATTGATAGCAATAACAAACAAATAAGGCGACATGGGACAGCCTTGACGAATACCTCTGAAACTTCTAAATTTATGCGAAGGCTGCCCATTAACAAGCACAGAGAAAGTAGGTGAAGAAATGCACGCATGAACCAAATTAATGAAATGACAATGCAGCCCTTTACGTGCAAGCGCAGACACAATGAAGTTCCACTCTAAGCGATCGAAAGCTTTAGCCAGATCTATTTTTAGCATGAAAGCATGATGATTCCACGAAGCAAGAGAGAAAGAGTGAGTAATCTCTTGAGCAATAATAATGTTGTCACTAATTCTTCTACCCTCAATAAAGGCTTGCTGAGCAGGATCAATATAGTCCGGAAGATGAGGCTTAATTCTATTAGCTAGCGATTTTGCAATGATTTTATAAACAACATTACAAAGGCTAATGGGACGATAATCCATAGGAACCTGAGGAACTAACTTCTTTTGTTCCCGGCCTCTTGGGCTACCGCTAGCTAAACGCCTACGGGCTAGCTCGACCCATGGCAACAACCAGTCGAAGAAACCGACTCAACTTGGATTCCTCACCTATCAAGCCAAGCCGTTCCGAGCTCGAGCCGACACCAAAAGCCCGAGTGGGTAGAACCCTATGTCTCACGAGTTTCCTGAAAAAACATATATTCGCGGGAGCTATATCTCGCAAACTGCTATACTGGTGACTGGGCCAGCCCATTCAAGCGGTTCTCGGAACCTTACACATGAGCGCGCGCTTGGTTTTAGGAACCTTCCGCTTAGTTTGCCTCCCCTTAAAAGACGTATAGTTTGCCGTCTAGCTTTTTTGAAATACCTTTCTCCATGTTTTTAATACGTTTTAAGTTCTTCTCATTTTCAAATACATGTCAACTTTTTAAAATATACGTTAAACATTTTTCCTGTACAAATTGAACATTCCAATACACGTTGAATATTTTTAAATCCATATTGAACATTCATTCAAATATATGTTGAACATCTATAAAATGCACATTCAACATTTCTTCAATATGCAGTGAACATATTTAATACACATTGAACATTTTTCAAAAACTTCATGAACATTTTTGCAAAATGTGCAAAGCATTTCTCAAGAGTTTTTAGATATTTTTATAAATGGCACAAACATTTGCAATACGCTATGAACATTTGTCTAAAACTGAAAGAACCCATTTTTTAAATTCTTGAACTTTGTCTGAAAATGTTGTGAAAATATTTTTAAACCTCAATTTGCACAAGCATGAGCGACCACGACAGCCTATTAAGCTATGTGTGTCTCTTTTTTTGTGTGTTATTCTTCAGTACGCAGGTAGCAACCCGAAACTGTGCCACATGCAGTTTTTCTGTTAGTTTTAAGAAGCATATTTAAAATGGTAACCAGTTTGTGATAATGCAAATATTTTGAAATTTCAAATATCTTTTGACAACACAAATCATTAAAAATATATGAACTTTTGTTCGAAAACTTTTTTTGCACGTATAATTTTAAAAAAATGATTTATGTTGGAAAAAAATCATATTTTCCAATTTTTTAAAACATTCTCAAAATATGAGCATTTCACAAATTTGTGAACATTTTGTTTCAAAAGCATGAATATTTTTTCACATTAGAAAACATTTTGCCAAATTTCCTAAAAAAATCCAAACAAAACTAGGGTAAATTCAATTTTTATTTTTTTCTCAAAAAAAACACAAATACTCTAAACCTATATAAAACAAAGTAAGAAATAAAGAATCATCAGGAGGTTCCCAAAACTGGAACCAGATTCCTGTCTACCTAGCAGTAAATGGCGTTTGGTCGACCGTTTGTAATGACTAATGGGCGTCCAATAGGATTTGCTATAGACACCCCCCCCCCCCTCTCCTTCTGATTTTATAAGTTTGTCTGGAAAAAAATCAAATAATATTGACTTGCCTGAAAACACGGGATCTAACTATTGGTGCACTAGTAGAAAAATAGTCAAATGTGAAGCACATTAGTGCCGGTTTGACTTTGAGCCGGCACTAATGTGTCCATTAGTGCCGGTTCCAACGGCTAGCCGCCGCTCTCATTAGTACCGGTTCGTGACTAACCTTTAGCACCGGTTCGTGCCACGAACCGGTACTAAAGAGAGTGATGGCAGGATGTTGTCAGTCTGGGCCCCTCCAGCACCTTTAGTACCGGTTCGTGGCACGAACCGGTACTAAAGGTCATCGTACATAAACCCTTCGTCCACCCGAGCTCGCTCTGTTCTTCCCCTTTCCCCTCTCCTCCTCTGTTCTTCCCCTCTCTTCCTCGAGCTCATCACACATTTTGCCCAAAATTTGTCAAGATTTGAAAGCCTCCATCCATTCAAATGATCACAAAGGTTAGCAACTTTGTCCTTTCATCTCTCATTGCTAGATTAGCTCTTGCAATGCTTTGTATAGTGAATAATTTGTAAGTTTAGTAATTTGGGAGGAATTATATGTGCTAGTATTTGATTTATATGCAATTTGAGGTCAAAAATAACATTTAGTTTGCATATGTAGGTGTGGTTTACTTAGTGCCTTCTAAATCTCCGTCGTAACCACCGTCGATCGCCCGCACCGTCCCGTCGCCGGCACCACCTTGTGGTGAGGCTCTTTTTCATGAATGTTTTACATTACCAAATTGATGTTTGTGTGATTTGGATATATAGTTACTCGTATAATTATCTTACCCGTACGTTTGTTTATTATACATAGTGCCATGGTTTTGATATCCGTCCCCGTCGGCCCTCGTCCTTGTTATGATTTGGATGTGGTATATTCTCTTTTAAAACTAGTTGTTGCATTTCGTGTTTATGACAAATTATGCCCATCAAGTTGACATAGATATTTTTATCTAGGAGGTATGTGAACCAGAAATTCCAACCGACCCTATTGTCGAGAGGTTAAATTTAGTTGAAAGAGAAAACGAGTATCTGAAAGAAAAATTGAAAACAATTGAGGGGGAGAAGATGGAATTGGAGTTGCATGTTGCCGATATCATCGATGATCACAAGATCAAGATGGAGAAAATGCGCTTGAAGATTAGAAAGATTAGAAAATATGTCATTGATAGTGTGGCTTGGTATCATTATGCTGTTGGACCAATTGTTACCTTACTTGCGATCTTGATCGCATTTGTTGTTGCATTTAAATTCTTTAGCTAGAGAGTTATTTGTATGTTGCATTTAATTAAGTGTTGTATATGAACTTTATGTATGAACTTGTATTAATTTGGTCTATTCGGTGTTGTGTAATGAAGATGAGCTGATAATGGATGTATGATGACTGATGCTCTCCCGGGTTCATTAATGGCGTGCATACTTTTCTGCTTGCCG